GTGTCAAAAGTATGGCAATATGGGTGTCCTTTCCTACCAAAATGGGTATCCCGGACGCGTTGGTGCAGTCCATTTTGTCGTCGGAGGTCATCCGGAGAAGTTCGCATTTTCACCCGTCCTTTGGGCTTAATTGAAGTCTGATTTCGTGCAGTTTCGTGAATTTCGTGTATTTGATGTGTGTATGTGACGAAAGTGGTCGTGACGATGTTTTCCTAAGGCTTGAAGTCCTATTTGGAACATTTTCCTTGAATCTACGCAACATAGCCCATAACCGCTCGTTCATAAGACGATGGTCTTGTGCCAAGATGCTAGACATCAAAGGAAAATAGGAATTGGCTGGAATTTCTAGAAGGGTGAGTCTCAATTCTAGTTTTCTAAGATGGTCCATAGGAATTTCTAGAGCTAGAACCTAGGCTCTAAGGAGGAGAAGAAAAGACCTCACAAAAATGAGGTCAACATAGTTATAAGGTAATGGTGGTCATAAATCTCTAGTAATTTTTTACCCACTGCATCAAATCAAACCACATGCACCACCAACAAAGCAGTCCCCATCAAATCACTAACTCACCAAGTTGGGGTAGTTAAATTGTTAGTTACAAAACTCCGAAATGAAATTAGATTTCATTATTTAGCCCAAGACTACTGTGTTACGTAATCCCATATGCTCCCACATCATTCATCCATGCGATAGTAACCTGTTAGTTATCACACTATGCAGGTCGATACTAGCATATTGCATGGGTCAATACAGTTATCTACCATTTATCCTAGAACTATTATCTAGGGTTTATAGTTCTAGGGTAAGCTACCACACTGCGTTGGTCAATACAAGTATCCATGAGATAAACGGGCCATAAACAATAAGCTAAAACATTTTTAAAAAATTTCCCTTTAAAACATTTGTCCTATTTGGAATGTATGATAAAAGTATAAAAAACAAACAAATCTCAAATGTATATTTGCCTTTGCTAACTTAGCATATATCGGCTCATTTCTTGTTATTTTGAATGATTTGATGGTACCTAGAAACCATTCTTTATATTTTTTTATTATCCTCTCATGATGACGCCTTTGCTAACTTAGCATATATCAGCTCATTTCTTGTTACTTTGAATGATTTGAGGGTACCTAGAAACCATTCTTTATATTTTTTTATTATCCTCTCATGATGACTCAAAACAACCCACATAGAACCGGTCACAGTTATCTCAAATGACCATATCAATCAAGATTGTCACTGAAACAAAACTTTTTACTATTCAGTTGTAACTTATATCCAAAAAAGTAATTGCTTATCACCACATTAGATAGAGATTTTGAGATGCGAATCATGTCGTTCAATTTCTGAACAGCAACAAAATGCAATCAGAAAACGAGCATTATAAAATTACAAAAAGGCAAAAAAAAAAAAACATCAACAAAACTTCTAGAATTTTCATTTCAACATTCCATCAAAGTTTAAATTTTCATTCTATGCAATATGGCATTAGCTTTTCATCAGATTCAAAAGCCATGGATTTCTTACTTAAGTTCAAATATTTTTTGAGAATGATTGGTGTCCATAGGATTCACATTCCAGATGTCATTCCTCCAAACAAATTGAAAAATTCCCTCAATCTATTACACTTTAATATAATTTGATATGCATCAAGCCAATTCTAAATTTTCTTTTACAAAGTCAACCCAAATACTACAAATAAAGCTGTTCAATAGCTAAATTTTTTCTTTAAATTTTCTAATTTTATTTAAGCCAGAAATGCCCCTAACTGCATCATATTCTACTTGTTCATGATTTAAAGATTCCAATTTTGACATCAACATGCTTCAATTTCCCATTTTTTTATGCATGCTTGAATAACAAAAAGTAAATATGTAACACTTCTATCTCTGATTCCCCCAAATCTTTTTTTTCAGAGCATTTTTGCAACAAAAGGACTAGTTATTTAGGATTTCCATAGCCCGTTGATAATGTCATTTTTACCTTTCTCACGCCTTTATGGGCACTTTGCAACAAACCAACATTATTCTTTCTCAACTGAGACCATCTAGTTTACTGCATTCAAATTCAAACAGTTTTTTTTTTTTTTTTGGGTGCACCATTCTGAAAGTTGTAATTATACCATATTGCAAAAGAAGATGAAAGATAATAAATTTCAGTTGCATGGTTGATTAAAATAATCAACAGAATAACAAAAATAATTTTCCTAACAAATAAACTATGAATATACCCTAACATACTGTTGCACCATAATTTTACCTTCCATATGTTTGTATCCAAGTCCACTTCATGTTTACCAGAAAGGTCAATTGCATCCAAACTTAGGACTGCAAAAAAATAATCACAAATATTACGTCAATTCAACCAACATGTAAGAGAATCAGTAGCAACAACCTGAATGAAAAGCCAAGCAATATGCCAAAACCAACCTTCACAGGGTAACGAAGGAAAAGTCATATTTATATGAATCGGAAGCCTCTTTTAAGATCTACTGACATCTGCAAATGAAACCAATGCAGTGTTACAGAATCTGGGAAGATCTATCCAATCGTGTTGCTAAAAAAGAGAACAGAAGTTAAGCAAATCAGAAGTTGCTCGCACAAGATTAATGTCAAAGAAACAAAAAAAAAAAAAAATTTCCTTCAAAAAGGTTCCCACTTTATAAGCACTCACCATATCTCGGACTAAAGTTGACAAAAAGTAAATCAGATATTGCCAGATAAACATGATACAAATTAAAAATTTAATCCCCAAGTCAAACAATAAATAACATGGTCATATAAATTACACCGTTGCTTCTTTGCTTTGTGTTGTTTTGTTTTTTTTTTTTTTGGTTTTTTTGGTTAAGAGGGTGGGG